ACCTCTAGTTTTGAGAGCAAAAAATCAGTTTTGCTTAGGAGCACTTGCACTCAAACAACTTGGACCGGATGAAGGGTAGGGTTGAGCCCTACGACGATCATCTCCATCATTCTTTGCAACCGAAGGACAATTCCTTATCTTGTGATCCGTCTTCCTACAACCAAAGCAAGTATTAGAACCTGCTAAACACTTCCCTTCATGATTTCTCCAACATTTAGCACAAGTAGGCATTGAAGGCCTATTACATCTCCTTGAGGTTTTGGGTTAGACACCCTCTCATTATTAGGCCTTGAAGGAGCACTAGAAGAACCTTTCTCAGAGAACTTTTGTCGAAACCTTGAAAGACCCCATCCACCGGACCTAGAATGTGAATAGTTACAATCATCCAATCTTGCTCTCTTTGCCTCTCTAGATCTTTCCTTGAGATTTTCTTCCTCAATTTGTTGCGCATGCACCATAAGGCGAGAAATGTCCATGTCATGGACAATCATAGAGGTGTGGAACTCTTTGACTACCATGTCAGACACACCCGATACAAACTTACTCATAATGGCCCTATAATCTGCCACAATAGAAGGAGCATACTTAGACAATTGAGTCAACCTTAAGGTATACTCCCTAACACTCATATTTTCTTGCCTAATATTAATGAACTCAAGTACTTTGGCCTCTCTCATCTCAAGAGGGAAAAATTGTCAAGAAAAGCACTTTTGAACCTTTCCCATTCTATGGGACCAGCTTCCACCGGCCTTGCCTCTTTCCATTGATTGAACCAAATCTGAGCAACCCATTAGAGTTGGTAAGCGGCTAACTCTACCTTTTCTACTAGAGTCACTCCCATAATAGCAAGTATCTTATAGACCTCGTCGATAAACTTTTGAGGATATTCCTCAACTTTGGAGCCATAAAATTTGGGAGGGTTCATCCTTGTAAAATCCCTCACACTTGCCGCCGCCGTACCCACATTTGGGTTCACGGGAGCTACCATTTCTCTATTGGCTTGTGCCATCACAGCTTGAGCTAATACTTGGAAAGCCGACCTAAACTCCTTATTTGTTACATTCCCATTCAATGGGTCAATCAGAGCTTGAGGAGGAGCTTGGGGAGGAACCTCTTGATCAATATTGGCTCCCTCCATCCTTCTAGCATTAGCACTTCTAGTAGTCATATCCTGAAAACCATCGGTTAAGGATTTGGATAAAGACTTTATAGAGTTAAGCTCCATGGCATGACTTAGAGAATAAAGAAGTGAAGTTTCCTAAACATCTAATAGCCTCTCATTCATAAATGTGGTGCGCTTCAAATTTATGAACAAGACTCTACTAGATGTGGTTTGAGACATCCTAGAACCATTTTAAACCTTGTGCTCTGATTTCCAAGTTTGTCATGACCCAAGGGTACCCCCTAGATGTAATAAGGCGTATAAAGCCCCGAGAGGCCTCATACAAGATACTTAGCATATCTTCACATAAAGTAATAGAAAAAGGTGCGGAAAAATTTAAAACATTTCAACACAATCAAAGTCTTTCATAAAACGAGCGTAAGTCTAACATCAATATCTCAAACCATCTAACACAAGAGATAAAAGATCTTGGGACTCAACCCATACAATAGTCCAACATGAAAAGAAAGACATAAAGGAGAATAAAGGTGATCCAATCCTCAAATGCTATGAGGACTCACCAAATCTTCACTTCCTTGATCAACTAAGGACATAGCCATAAGTGTGTGAATCGATATCGCCGGACCCTACATTTGATAAGAATGTAGGAAAGAGTATGCATTGGCACAAGAATGTACTAAATATGATAGCTTGCATAACAACATAAACATAAGCATTAGTCAACATAAAACATAAGGCATAAGCATAATCAAGACATAATAAGCATCATAATGAAAAAGGAATATAATACTACCTTGAGTAACCTCACTTATCCTTAGCCAAGACTTAGGTTGTCCACCTCTAGTCAAGCTTACATCATGGAAGGCATATCTAGCAACACTCCAAGTCAAACATCTTCATAACATAATCATATCATTCCCACTTACTTTTATATACATGGGGATTCACCTCTATGCCTATCTTATAAAGGCTAATGGGTATTCGCCTCTTGCCTTGCTTACTTTAAGATTATGGGTACTTTATTCCACAATCACATCATATGACACGGGTACTCGCCTCCACATAATTTCATAAGGATCATGGGTATTCACCTCCATGTCCATTTATCATAATAAGAACGTGGGGAATCACCTCTTGTTCAATTCTAAGGAGTATGGAAAATCAGAACATATCCTTTCACATATGGAGGTCATGGGTAGTCGCCACTAGCCTCATCATTCATTTAGCATTTTAGTCTAGATTCATTTTAGGTGAGCAATACTTTCAACCTAGAATCATTCATGTGAGTAAACCTTTCACATTCATACAATCATGCTTAGAAACCCATTTTAGGAAGTATCTCTTCCACACTACAACATTAACAATCAATGGGTCATAGTCTAGGCTTTACTCTCAAGAAATTAACATCATAGTCATCATATATGCTTTAATCTAAAAAATTCTAGTCATAATTCATACATCCTATAAGGAAATATCTAAACCCATAAAGTTTCTCTTCAAGGCATAAAACCCAATTTCATCAATTCGAAGTTAGAAACATGGAATAGGCATGGGTACATGTAATTTCATCCTTAAAACATGTAATTCTACCAATTCCACCATAAAAAATCATTACCCACTCAATTTCGGTCAACATTCATCACAACCCACAACATTGGAAGAAACCCTAACTAAAATTGGGGATTTAGACTTCACAATTGCGAAATTCTAGGGGACTCCATGGGAGGAAGGATCTTATGGATGAAAAGACATCATACATTAGTCACAAATCCTACCAAAATCTTGAAGATTGGAGACTTGACCTTGACCCTAGCTTGTACTCTTTCTTCTTCTTCAAGTTCTAGAGAGAGAATTATTTGAGAGGAAGATCTTGGGTTTTCTTTTTGGTATTTGAGAGTATGACTTTAGTTGGGGGGAATTTGAGAATAGAATGCTTAAATACTTTACTATGTTAAGAGTCAAATGACGTTGTATTGCATTAAGAAAACTATGAAAAGACATTAAAGAACCCAATTTAAAAACTGCAGCTTTTCTCAATGAAGCTCGCCAAGGGCACATGGCGACTCGCCCAATGGACCCTTGGATCGCCTAAATTTACAGTAGCTCACCCCACGGAGGCAGACCATTTGGCGATGGAAAAGTCCTCTTGGCAATGCACCAACCTAAACGGCGAGCCCTGACTTGGTTCACCCAATTTACCAGCAGCTTGGGCCTTTGGGATAGTCCACTAGGCGACTGTGGAGCACTTGGCGAATCGCCAAGTCACTTAGGCGACCACACTGCCCATCACCAAGTTGGCTTGGGCAGAAAAAATGGTTTCCAAGGCCTCATTGGCTCTTGCCCTCTCCCATGACATATTACTTCTACATACTTAGCCCTAGTTTAGCCTACTAGAATACCGAGGTGTTACAATCACTATAGTGCCCAGCAAATATGCCCTGAACTTCTCAAATGCATATACCACAACCAGTAGTTCCTGTTCACTAATGGTGTAGTTGCATTGTTCTCCGTTTAGTGATTTGATGGCATAGTAGATCGGGTGGAAGATCTTGTTGCGCTTTTCTACCCCAATACAACTCCCAAGGCAGTATCACTTGCATCACATATTACCTCAAATGGTTTCGACTAATCCAGGCCAATGATCACTGGGGCTCATATCAACTTTTCCTTTAGGCATTCAAAGGCTTTTAAGCATGCATCATCAAAGGAAAATTTCACCTCTTTTTCCAACAACTTACACAAGGGGTGTGAAATTTTTGAGAAATCCTTAATGAATCGCCTATAGAATCCTGCATTCGCTAAAAAAACTTTGAATACCTTTCACACAAATAGGCGGAGGCAACTTTTCAATCACATTAATCTTCGCTTTGCCTACCTCCAATCCCTTCTGTGACACCTTATGACCCAGGACTATACCTTCCTTAACCATGAAATGGCACTCTCCCAGTTAAGCACCAAATTAGCCTCCTCGCATCTTTGTAATGCTCTTCTAAGATTCAACAAACAATCATCAAATGTGTCACCTACCACGGAAAAATCATCCATGAACACTTCCAAAGTCTCCTCTACCATGTCCGAGAAGATGGACATCATACACCTCTGGAAAGTTGTTGGTGCATTACATAATCCAAATGGCATGCGTTTGAACGCAAAAGTACCATAAGTACATGTAAAGGTGGTTTTTTCTTGATCTTTTGGAGCAATTGATATCTGATTATACCCAGAGTATCCATCTAAGAAGCAGTACCACCATTTTCTAGCATGTCAAGTATCTGATCCATGAACGACATTGGAAAATGGTCCTTCAAGGTCCACTTGTTCAGCTTCCTGTAATCCATGCATACTCGCCAACCAGTGAATGGTCTTTGAGGGATCAATTCATTCTTGTATTTTCCACCACTGTCATACCACCTTTCTTGGCACATATTGCATTGGGCTAACCCAATGACTGTTAGAAATGGGGTACACCATTCCTGCATCCAACCACTTTATGATTTCCTTTTTGACCACCTTTTGCATTGCTGGGTTTAACCTCCTCTGGTGCTCTATGCTTGGGCTGCAGTCCTCCTCGAGTTGGATTTTATGAGTACAAATACCCAGAGGTATCCCAATGATGTCAGCAATAGTCCAACTGATCGCATTTTTGTACCCTGTCACGACTCTGACCAAATCTTGTACCTATTCATCATTCAGATCTATGGCCAAAATGACTGGAAAAGTGTTATTAGTACCTACAAAATACATACCTTAGGTGACTGGGTAGCTGTTTCAGCTCAAGTACAGGTGGCTCATCAATGGATGGCTTTGCTGGAGGAGTTGGCCTGTTTTTCAGATCTAGGTCTAATTTCTTTGGAGCATAAGAATGTGACCCCATACCTTAAAGAGCATTCTTAGTCTCCACATAATCATTCCCAAAGTCTGCTTCAAAGTTCATTAGCACGGCTTCCAATGTTCCACCAACAAACCTTTCCTCAATAGAAGCTCCCGACTCCTCTTCATCAAAGACATCTATTGTAGACACCACATTCATGTCTTGTGGTTGCTTCATAGACCTACATATATTAAACTTTACCTCCTCATTGTTGAGCCTGAATTTCAGCTCTCCACTCTCAATATCAACCGAAGCTCGACCTGTAGCCAGAAATGGCCTTCCCAAATTATGGGAACCTTAAACTCTTCTTTGCAATCCAAAATCACGAAGTCTGCCGAAAAAATGAAACTATCCACTTTTATGATCACATCACATAAAATACATACAGGCCATTTCACTGACTTATCTGCCATCATCAACCTCATCGCAGTGGGCTTTGGAACCACCAAGTCCAATTGCTTCTCAATGGCTAGTAGCATCAAATTTATACTTGCACCTAAATCACATAGGGCCTTTGCAAACACAAATGATCCAATGGTGCATGGTATAGTGAATGCACCTGGATCTTTGTTTTTCCGCACCAGAGATCTTGAAGCAATAACACTACAATGATGAATGTTGTCAATTAGTTCAAAACTTACAGCTCTTTTCTTTATGACTAAGTCCTTCATGAACTTAGCATATCCTAGAATTTTCTCCAAAGCTTCCACCAATGGGATGTTCACTGATAGCTGTCTCAACATGATTATGAACTTTGCAAATTTCCCATCTTCAGCTTTCTTCTTGAGTCTTTTAGTGAAAGGAGGAGTCGGTCTCGGTATCTATTATAAAGGCAAAGTAGACTCTACTTCTGCTTCTTTTACCTTAACCAACTTTTTTGTTGGTTAGGCTTCTTCTGTATCATCTATATGTTCATCTTCAACCTCTTCTTCCTCATTTCTCCCTATACCTTAGTACCTGCAAATATTGGCTCAATAAGAATCTTATCGCTTCTGGTGGTGATAGCCATGCAGTATCCATCTTTCTTGGGATTCTGAATAGTGTCACTTGGTAGTGACCCATTCTTCCTCTGATTCAGTGATGCTGATAGTTTTCCCAACTGTTGCTCTATTTGCTTGGTAGAAGTGGTATGAGAATCCACCAGTTGACTTATACTGGAGAAGTCACCCTTCATTTCTTTCACACCTGCATCAGTAGACTCAACTTTTTGTAACACTTTGGCTAACGTATCTTCTAATTTGGACCCGCTGGAACTACCACCTGTTCGATCTCTATTACCCGGGGGTACATAAACACCACTGCGGTCATTCATGTAGCCATCTCTGTTCTGTCAGTTTCATTGTTCTCTATTTGTTGGCCTTTCATACTGCCCTTCTCTAGAGTAGTTCTGACCTTGATTTCCAGAATTATATCCTTGGTTTCCCGAGTTATAATTCCGGAAACCCCCTTGGTAGCCTAAGTATTTAGCCTCATCATTTAAATCAATGTCTTGATCTTCATACCTATTTGAGGCTCCCACAACATTCACCTTCTCAGAACCTGCCATGATATGCTTCGTGAGTAGATCCATCTGGGTTCTCAGATGAGCTATATCCTGATCCCTTTCTTCTTCTCTCCTTTTTTGTTCCGCTGAAAGCTTGAATGTTAAACCTAGATCTCTGATTTCAACATCTCTTGAGTACCATGCTCTATCATTCTTCTAAACTTCATCCATTAGCTGCACAATTTCTAGAACTGGATTCCTCATTAATGAACCTCCACACACTACATCAACAACAGGTTTAGTGACATAATTCAAAGATCTATAAAATGCATGTTTTAAATGTCTATCAGTAAGCTCATGGTTTCGACACTTTTTTAGCTTTTGGCTGAACCTCCATCACGTATCATGCATTGCCTCCCTCGGTAGTTGTTTGTGTGCACCTATCTCATCATTCATCTGTATTTCTTTTGATTCAGGATAAAACCTTTCTAAGAAGGCGTCTTTTAGTTCAGTCAAAGGTCTGACTCAATCATCTGGCAGTTCACTCACGGCTTGCCTCCCCAATGAGAGACAACAGAAATAGTCTCAGCCTCATAGCAGTATGACTAACCCTAGGAATTTCTGTGATTTGCACATTGTCACAAAATTCATCAAGTGCTGGTTAGCATCATCACCAGGTACACCTCTGAACATACCCTTCAAGTTCAGTAGTTGAATCATCATGTTAGTGATTGTAAATTTCACGCCTCGGGTAATGCAGGTAGCACTATTGCTCATGTGGCTCCAGCTCCATTTAAATCTAAGTCATCTTCCTCGAACACCATAGAAGTTGGTTGTTGTGCTTGACCTCTCGGAGCTAATGGTTGGCGGTGGGGATGAGCTATTTCTTACACTCCTTCATGTTCCCCTACCCCCTAGGTGGGTCATTCACAACATTTCGTTGAGCACCTCGCGCAGCTGTCTCAGCCTTAAATCCAAGCCTCTTCCTCTAAGCCTAAAGTTTTTGTGCATTCACCATTTTGCGGATATTTTTTCTCAGTTTCGAGTCGTAAGGAATCAATGGAGCACCCTTACTTCTGGTATTTGGCATTCACTGGTGAACTTACCTTTCAGATACACAGACAAAGAACAAGACGTAAAATTAGGAAATATAACCACAAGTCAAATAAATGATAGTGAAATATTTCTGAATTGAAATTCCCCTGCAGCGGCACCAAAATTTGATACGTCAAAACTTACACTTCAATTAAGAAGTACAAACGGTTGATGTCAATTTATAGAACTCAACGTGAGTTCAGTTCGATACCACAAAGAATTTACTCACAAAATAGTTTCACTATCACTTTATTCAAATGTTGTGATTATTACCTAAAGGAAGTAATTGTGAAATGTAAAATGGGTTTACTCAAATCCTCTCGGCTTAGAGTGTTATTCGATTTTAACCTTGCATGGTTTAGTGTCAAAGTTCTCATCTCTCGAACTCAAACTTTCACTCCAATTGAATAGTTTAACTAGGCTTTTTCCTAATTATCAATTTTCTCTCGAACAATTGATATATATAGGAAAGTTCTAAAGCGTGCACTCATTAGAAAGAATAAATAACGAAAGTTAAGTTAAGTTGTGCAAATATGAATCACATTCTACTCGTTTTATGAATCAAAACTCATATTTTAGTCATAGTTCTCACAACCCTAGTTATGGTGTTTAGCCACTCATGCTTTCAACTAAATAAGCAAAGATACATAATGAATGCATTAAGAGAAATCACTTACGAAGATTTGCAAATTCAACGAACACTTGATATTCAGAAAACCAAAATCAAACTTCAAATCTCGTTTCAATGTTAATCAATGAAAACACAGGTATAGAATAATAGGAAAGTAGTTGCTCGTTCTAGATATGACGAGATAAAACAAAAATTAAACCTAATTAATTCAAATAGTTTCACTAAAAAGAGTCCTACTCGAATTAGGATTTACTTGTCGGGCAGCTTCACGGAGGGCATTATGAGCTTCACGGTCCGTGAAGCCTGTCGTGGTCTGTACTTGGTCAACCAAAAATGTGTCTTCATGCCCTATTCATTGGAAATCCTTCACGGACTGCTTCACGATCCGTTATGAGGACCACAGCCCGTCTGGTGTCTGTGGTCTTTACTTGGCCAAATCAAAGTGTAACTCCTCGAGGTCTTCTCACTAGAAATCCATCACGGGAAACATCACGGTTCGTCATGAGAACCACAGCCCGTCTAGGGCTCCGTGGTCTTCACTTGGAGTTTGGTCATCAACATCAACATTCTAGGCTCACTGCTTCATCACCACGGGCAATATGGCGGCCAATCATATTGACCACAACTCATAATAGGCTCCGTGGTCTTCCTTCATTCCATTAATCTTCTGCTTCCTTTTCAATCTTTTCCACAAACGTGAGAACCTATCTAGACATTCAACAAACACATCAAATCTTACATAAATACACTTGATTCTAGTATTAATCTTTAGTTTCGAGCATCGAATGTGCCAACATTTCACGACACATCACCTACGAGCCGTACACTAAAACCATAGAACCTACTGTCAAAGCCCACTTTTCTTATGTTTTCTTATCCTAGTCTAATTAGGATTAGATGTTTATAAATATTCATTTTATTTTGCACTTTTTACAGTTAGAGAATTAATTACTTTGCTTTTGGTTTTGAGAATTATTGTGGTGAATAATTTGTCCATTTTAGTTCTTGAAGCATCAGTTTAATATAATCTTTTGTTCGTCAATTTAAGATTATGGAATTCAACAACTATAATTGTATGTTCATGATTTATTTGAACAGTCTTATTATGATTTGTGACAACTCAAGCATCACTAGCTAAACTCCACAACTAGGGTTGTGGGAACCATGAGAAATTAACAATGTAGACTTAATAATTAGTAATTTTTGAATCAGTGTTTATGCATGTATTGTTAATCTCTTTGTTTTGATTGCTTTTTAACGGTGGCCAATGTTGTAACCCTCCTTATTCATACTTTCCCGACCAAGAAAGTAACGAATGGGAAAAGTGATTAAACTACATATATTTGACTACTACAACCGACATCTAATATTTTGAACCACCTCGAGAATTAATCTATGGTCAAAGGTAAGGGTTAGTAAAGCACACACCCATAGACTGACCAGGTTGCGTGGTGATATTCTCTATTTGGACGACCAATCACTTAGGATATTTATAACTTATCGACTTTTCATGTTAAACACTAAACAATATTACTACTATAAGGCTTATCGCGTTAAGGACTTGTGGGGAACACATACACCCTAGTTTTATCTTCTATTGATTAAACAAAACATTTAATCATATTTACTTAGATACTTGTTATTTAACTGAATCAATATAGCTTTGTGTTAAAAAAACTCTCGTATTTATGGAAATACTCTGACTAAAAGTACAATCAACAGTTAATTAGCCTAAGTCTAGACATGTCAATAATAAAAGATAGGGTACAAGACAAAACAGGTGCATAATGATAATCAAGATTTGACAACTTTCATAGATCACATCTACAGTTCTATCGATTCTCTCTAATTCGATAGTTGATTAGAGTACCATTAAGATATAGATTTCTCTTCCAAGTAAATCTCAAGTTCAAGGATAAACTAATTATAATATAGTGATCCTAATATGTAAGAACATGTTATGAATTATTATTAAGGAAGTAATGTCCTTTGACTATTTTTCCTTGAGATTTTATCAATAATTATCAACAAGCTCTGTCGATTACTTTAGAGGAGATATATTGATTCTTCTAAATGCGAAAAAATGTACCATATTTCATGGAATAGGCGGTTGTATGCAAGAAAATTACCCAACTTATGAGGTCAGGGTCGAACCACAAGAATTGGTAGTCTAGACTCTTTTTCTATTGATTTTACAATTTGAACTGTAACACCTCAAAAATTAGAAAGTTCAATAGAAAAGAGAAAGTGTAGTGTGTTGACCCAGTGGTGTACGAGACATACCTACGAACCGTAGGAAGTCCTATGGGCCATAGAAAGTCCTATGGGCCATAGGAAGGGAAACATAGAACTGGAGTTGAGTTTTTGGAATTTCAACTTTCTGAAGTTTAACCTGAGAATGAGCGCGACGAGTAGTAGGAAATTGGACGAGTCGTAGATGGGTTTCGTAGGGGTAATACATACTTAACAAAAAATTAGGGTTAAAATTGAGGTATACGGACAGTGTCCACGGACCGTAGAAAGTTCGACGGTCCATAGAATGATGTCGTAGGAATTTGGACAATTTTAGGCCCTAGTAAATCAAACTAGAATTGACCAGTACGGTCCGTAGGAATTTCTACGGCCCGTAGGTCCAAACCGTAGGGTCCTCTGGCAGTTATTTCTTAAGGGAATTTTGGTCTATTCCTATGCATTTAATACCTATACTATATTATTTTGGCCCTAATTTTAAGTCCTATAACTATCCTTATACTCCTAAAATTACGTCAACTCTCTCATTCTCTCAAAACGCCAAATCCAATCCACATTCATCTTCTCCAATTATCTCTCTAGTTTAGGAAGGAACTTAGGTTTTCCAACTTCAACTCTTCTATTCATCCATTGATTTTGGGCTTTGTTTACCAAGGTATGAAGGGTTTCATCAATCGGTTCTATTCACCCATTGAGCCCCAAATATTTCTCAAATCTCCAAGTTAAATTTCATCAAATTAATTAGGTTTTCATTCAATTTTTCATGGGTTCCAATTGTGTTAATTAAATTGTTTGATTTTGGTCTTATCATGATTGTTTTGACTCAATTACTTGCTTTCCAATTGATTTTATA